CTAGTAAAGCACTTGTTACTAGTAGCGATGCACTTGTTACTAGTAGCGTCCTTGCTCCTAGTAGTAAGGCCAGGAGCCACTAGTAGCGTCCTTGCTCCTAGTAGTAAGGCCAGGAGCCACTAGTAGCGTTCTTGCTCCTAGTAGCGATGCCCCTTCCTGCTAGTAGCTTCTTGCTCCTATGGCTCATTTTTAAAGGAACGTTTGGGTGACTCGTCGATTAAGATTCAGTACGTAGATGCCACTGAACAGGCAGCAAAGCGCTTCCACCTCAAAGTGGTTTCAAGCTTTGTGTTTACGTATGTTGAGACCATTTACATGCACGTTAGGCAAACAGGTCGGGATGAACACATTTCATGTTTCACCGCGACTGTTGCAATTGGCAAACAGGCCACCAGCCATTGCTTGTTTTCTGCAACTGCGCCGCTTTGTTTTGGGGAAGCCCATGCTGTGGCACAGATAGGACACTATGGGGACAACAGGGAGAGCCTCTTTGGCTTACCTTGCGTGCATAACCCCCTTAAACTGGTTGTTGTGGGCTCTTCACTTACTGACCTGTTGCATTGTCAGCTTCATTGGTTTTATAAACATTGAGTTTTTGAGGACAAAGAATCCCAGCCCATCCCTCCCTAACTTATCCTTGTAAAACTGTAGCGCCGTGAGCTCAACAGCCGTCGCAAATAGGTGCAGTCGGCAAGTAAAGAGCCATCAACATTCCGGATTGATCTCGAGGATTCCCGTTGGGACTGATGGCTGATGACTTATGATGACTTATGGGTTAAAGCTGGAGTTCTCCACGTGAGACATTTCTTCCTTTTCTTTTTCGTTTGTTAATAGGGATGGCCTCGAACCTACTTGGGTTTAAAGCTACACGGAATCCAGTTTGCTTCGTGCCGGTCAGTGGTTTGTTTCTCGCTTCAGCAGGTTCGTTGCTCGTCTGAGGCAGCGTGGATGGAGGGAAACATTGCAGAAATGTGTGGAGAACTGGTCGAACGCTGAGATTTGTTTCTTACAGCAGGACGGATTCGGTCGCCGGATTCGGATCGGTCGTTGGAGGCGTTGGAGGTTGGAGGCAACATGTTAGCTTCTTGTTACTACTAGTAAGGCACTTGTTACTACTAGCGATGCACCTGTTACTAATAGCTTCTTGTTACTACTAGTAAGGCACTTGTTACTACTAGCGATGCACCTGTTACTAATAGCGTCTTGTTACTACTAGTAAGGCACTTGTTACTACTAGCGATGCACCTGTTACTAATAGCGTCTTGTTACTAGTAAGGCACCTGAACAAAAACATAACACATCGAGAAGAAAAAAGGGCGTGCAGATGTAAGACTTTTGATCACTTTGGCATGCGTTTGGCCATCTTCAGGCTGCCTTTGGGGACAAGCGTTGGCAACAAGCCAACAGCGGTGTTTTGGTCTTCCGCGGTGGGGCGAACGCGGGCGGGGTCGGTGCATTGTTTCATGCCCTGGCTGCGCGACTCGTTGGACAAGAGATCTTGGTGCGTTTGTTGCCCAATCGTGACGTCATGGCCTTCGAACAACTGCTCTTGAACTATATCCTCAACGAAGTCCGATCAGGTCCTGGTTGGAAAAAGAACATCTTACGCTGGGGAATCTACAATCCATTAGTGGCATACTCTGGAATGTTTTTGACATCTGCAGTGCTTACAGATACGGTGCACCATGCAACTGCTTCGAATGCCGATCTTCAAAGCAAGCTGCGACTTATGGATGCTCAGATGATCAAAATTTAAGTGGGGGCTTGGGGTATGTTGTTGTTTGGAGCTCAGGGCCGTTAGGCCGTTAGGCTTTAGGTTTACGGCGTCGCTGCTCACCGTTGTCATAGCCTTTGAGCATCGCAAAACCAACATTCCGAAGCAAACGGCGCTTAACTATGTGCTCAACATAGTGCTTGTCACGAAAGCTAGCACCAGCTAGCTGGAGTTGTCCTTGCTTTAGCAAGTGAGGGGCTGGAATCCTCGGGATCGCCGCATCACGTGAAAACTTCATATGTAGGGGGCCCGCCCCCCCCCGTGGGTCCAACTCCCCCCTCGGACGCCTCTGCGACACCTCTCGGGCATCTCTAATGGCATCCACTTTGGCTTAACTCCTCCGGGATACGGTGCAACAGATTCAACAAGCTCACATGTTCATGACATCGACATCGATAGAAGAAACCAAACAAATCATGCAAGCAGCTTTGTTTTGCCTCTGGGACACCTCTTGGGCACCTCTTATGGCATCCACACTGGTTCAACTCCTCCGTGCAGGTTTTGGGATACGGTGCAACAGATTCAACAAGCTCACAGGTTCGTGAACACATCGGATGCATCGAACAGTGTGGCAAAGTCCAGCCACGCTTCCTTAATTATCGGGGACTTCAATTCTAAGGTTGGCTGTGTCATTGCTGTTTGTGTGTCTTACATGTTCACAACGTTTTACCTCATGAGCACTTGCCTCACTCCGCTTGATGTCCCACCAATCCGGATGCACCCCTGCTAGCTTTCGTCACCTACCCTCGGCCTCAAGTAGTGTTCGTTGCAACGCCATAACCTCGTAGACCTCCGCCAAAGCTTCTATGCGCCTAAAACGGCTTTTGCACTGTTCACAGGGAATGCTGCTTCCCCTTCATTCGTGTACTATTTTGAGAACATAATAGCTCTTTTTTAACTTTCCCCAAGAGAGGAGTTTCAAAAGATCAGCAGTAGTTTCAACCGCCTTTTGAGAGCAGTCGGTAAGGATGCAGCACAGCTCTTTATCTCGGATCTTCGTGAGTTCTGCCCATCGATAGATCCCAATGGAGGCCTTCTGAAGGAAGAAGGGCCCTTGCCCGAATTTTGCTACTATTACATTGGGATAGATCCTCACTTTGGGCCCTTGCTTGACCATTCCCGGGTGCATGAGGGCTTCAGCGAAGAGGACAACCTTATTGTGCTTGACCATCTTCAACGGAGGCCCAAAGAGATGCGACATGAAAAACAGTGATTCTCATTTGTGATTCTGAGTAGCGCAAAAGGCCATTTGGTTGGCTGCAAGTAGACTTTGCACATCAAACAAACGCAGTCTTTGCATTTCTTCTCTCCGGTCTCGGTGCGATCGACCCGGTGGTTCGGCGGCATGGTGTCCGACTTTGCCTGTGACGTTTCCGGTGGGGGAAAGTTTAGTCCAAAACAACTGTGACGTTTCCGTCTTAGATCATTCCAAGAGGTGTTGGGAGTTTCAGGCGAACCGCCGCACCCACCCCGGATTACCCCAGCTATCTACTGACCAAAATTCGCTGCGGCTTGCAGCAAGTAAGAGGACCTTATCACCCATTTGGCCTTGCCTAGTACACCTTGGAGAACATAATGTGTTTTAGCCTTGCCGCTTTGCTTAAACGGGAATCACACGAACACCTTGGGTGAATCACAAGCTCCATGTTGCCTTCCATCCAATGCTTCCTTTTGGACCCATACCTTTCGCTTTCTTCATGGGCTCATAGTTTTCTTCAACCTACTAGCGATGGCCTCCCACCTGTTTTCTTCATACTCCCGCTAGCATGTCTTTGTTTCGGAATCGTATGGCTTGGTTTCCAGTTTGGCGTTCAGGGGCCGAGGACGGGCTTGGATCCAGCTGGTGATTTCTTTCAATGAGGGTGGCTACAAGCACTGGAAAGCGAGACGCCGGAACTCATCCATCGCCATGGGCGACGTTCTGTGGAACCCTTCGTTTTGAGGCGTGAGATTTGGCACCCTTCGTTTTCTGAAAAACGACGTTTGCAACTCAGAGCGAAGTGAGGACTTGAACATCTTCGAACGATGGAACTCGATTCTCAAATTCTGAGCGGTTCGTGGTCGATTTCTCGGGGGCGACGCGTGGCACGAAGTGTAATCTACGTCGACGAGAGGAGACACGTACCTCGGTGACGAGAGCTCTTTACCTCGACGTTTCGGGATGTTTGCGCCCAAAAGAAGAGAGAAAAACCAGGGCGAAAGGACAAGAGAAAAAGAAGAGGGCACTTAATTCTAATGAAATTCGTAACTTGTTACTACTAGTAAGGCACCTGTTTCTAATAGCTTCTTGTTACTACTAGTAAGGCACTTTTTTCTAACAGCTTCTTGTTACTACTAGTAAGGCACCTGTTACTACTAGCGATGCACCTGTTACTAGTAGCGGAGAGAAAAACAGGGCGAAAGGACGAGAGAAAAAGCATGGAAGAACGAAGAAGCAGATGGCGACGTCGATGACGTCGTGCTTTTCTCAAGTGGAAGCACATGATGCATGTTTTGATAGATTGGCAATACATTGGCATCATTGATGCGGCATCATCAGATTCATCATTGATCCATGTCCTGTGCAACTTTGCAAACTAGTTCTTGCGATTTCAGCCATGGCCTCTCTCGTTTTGCTAAAGAGCAGCCGCTCTGACCCACCCAGACGGGTCAGAGCGTCTTTCATGAGAGATGCGGACTTCGATGTGAAGGTCTCGGCCTTGTCAACATCGAGACCTTCGACCATCGGGATGGCGACCTCGAGACCTGTCTCCAGACCGAGATCATCGAGACCGTCGCTCCGCTGTTGCTCGCTCTCCGCATCCAGAGGCCATCGCTACTGGGTTGGATGCCATCGCTATAGTAGGTTGGAGGCCATCGCTAGTAGGTTGGAGGCCATCAATAGTAGTAGGTTGGAGGCCATCGCTAGTAGGTTGGAGGCCATCAATAATAGTAGGTTGGAGGCCATCGCTAGTAGAATGGAGGCCATCAATAATAGTAGGTTGGAGGCCATCGCTAGTAGGTTGGAGGCCATCGCTATAGTAGGTTGGAGGCCATCGCTATAGTAGGTTGGAGGCCATCGCTTCTAGGTGCGCTCGTGATCACGTCGCTCTCCACTCTTCTGCGCCGTCCTCGCCGTCCTCGCGCTTGCAGAGCGGCTCGAGTGGCTCGAGCGGCGGAACGTGACGGTCGCTCCTCGCGGAGCTTTGTGAAGACTTTGGATGTTCGCTCGTGGAGGATTGGGCTCAGGAAGAATTACCAATTATTGAGATTGTTTTGTTTACAAAGAGAATGCTAAGACTTCAAGACCTTGCTGCAGGATTGGGAATCAAGATCCCAAGGTACCAATTCCAAGTTTACGTTTGGTCCCTGATGTTCCGGAGACGAAGGCTTGGACAGCCACTGTGGCCCGTGTTGAAGCTCTTTTCTTTCAGTTGAAACACGCTTTGGGCCACTTTTTGGCCAACAGTTGGAGAAGTTTTTGGGCAACTTTTGGCTTTGCACAGTGTGCCGCCACAGGTACTGGAATTTCAAAAACATGGTGTTGTTCTGCTACGTGGTGTGCTGCACGAGTGGGTGGCTTGTCAACCGTATCAAATTTCATGTGGGTTGGGTGAGCTATGAAAAGCTAGGGTTTGAAAAAAAACAATACTCAACACAGGAATGAATTGCACTTTGGGTTGCTTTTTCTCCCGCTTCACCTCAGGTGCCTTATTTGAAGGAGGTGAGTATGAAGCAAATGGAAGAACCACAGATCACTGCAATGCTGACGGGTTTGCGCACCTTTTTCTCAATGGATTATGTCCAGGCCGGGCTCTTCTTGACGAACGAAGGCTTTTGGAACTTCTGGACATCTTCTGGTGGACGCACCGTCGGACGTCTCGCAGCACAACTGCAAGGGCTGGAAGAAATCGAAAGCGAGGTGCGGCTCATCGTGGACCAACTCAATGTGAACCCGCATCAGCCCATGTCACTTCACTCTCGTTTTAAAACCAACAGTTGTTTCTTTTTTAATAGAAGGGGTAGGCCGTAGGAAGAGGTAGTAGCTAGGTAGGTAGCTAGTAGAAGCAACAGGTAGCTAGTAGCTTAAGTAGCTACTACCCACTGGACGCAGGATAGCTCACGCAATTCATTTGGTTCCCAGATGTTTAGGGAAACTTAAGTTTATTTGCTTTGGGAAGGTTCAATAATTTTTTGTGAGGGCTCCAAAGATAGAGTTCACTAAACTCGCTTAACTGGACAAGAATTTGTCTCCATTTTCTGTTTTGCTTTCAAGGTTCACAGAGCCCGACACCTTTCACACCGATGCTGGGAAACCGAGAAACGAAGGAAACACAGATTTCGCGCGAAGCACGAAACGAGAGCAACACCAGAAGCTACTAGGAACAAGTGCATCGCTTCTTGTAACAAGTGCCTTACTAGTAGTAACAAGGACGCTAGTAGAAACAAGTGCATCGCTTGTAGTAACAAGTGCATACGAGATCGTCGAACGCAGGTCGGTGTGATTTCAGCGGTGGCACGGGAGCAAGATGTGGTGAGATGTTGGATTCCATTGCAGAAGCTCAAAAGTGGAAGTGGCGAAGAGGCACTTGGAACCTTAGAGTTTCAAGTCAATGGCCAACGGTTGCGCTTTGACGATGTGGAAGAGGGAGATGTGGTCACTTGCCTAGCGTCATGTGGCAACAAACGTTCATGTTCCAACTTTCATGGCCAAGGTGCAAGAACCAAAAGTGTTGCGCAGGTTTCGTAAGACTTTGATGATCTTTCAACTTTCAACGAATCTTCAGCTACAGCTGTGTGATCTAGGGATTCTGCACCTGTCATTTATCAAGGGTGTTGTAGCCGACGCCTGCAGCAGGCCTCTGCCGTGTTGCTCAACCAGTTCCACTTTTCCATGCCTTTCTCAGGAAAACTGCAAAATCTGAACACCAAAGCGCGCCTGTTGTTTGGTGTGAGCTACCTGCAGAATTTCAGGATGCAGGTGGCCAACACGTTAAGCACATCTTTGTGTGGGGTTCTTACTTTTACTATGCATCCTGTCCGTCTTCCGTCTTCCGCCTCCCGGCGCCTCTCACCAACTCAACTCATACAAACTCCTCTTCCGCCCCCAGTAAAACCTTCAAAAGGCCCCCTCCCTCCCTCCCTCCCTCCCTCCCTCCCTCCCTCACATCTCCCCTCATCATCCACATACACTTGCTGCCATCACTCCTCTTCCTGGCGCTTTTGGCTCGACTCGAAATCTTTATACGTGGAGTTATCCGGTCGTCTACTTGATCTTTCTTGCATAGCGGACAAGTGCGGGACTTTCTGAAGTGAGTCCACGCTTTCCCGCTCGCAGCACTTTCTGTGTGGTTTGCCCCAACTTGCGCCCAAAGATGAGCCTCAGGTCAGAAATCACCGAAGGCAGATACAGAAGGCTTAAGGCAAGAACCCCTTTCCCAGGTTGGTTTGTGGAGGTTGATCAATGCGATCTGTGCAGGGCCTGCTTGGTGCTTTCCCTCTCCGTATAGCCCACAGCTACATCATCAAGTGATGTTTGCCATTGAAAAAGCACCACTTGCTGACAGAAATGGCACGCACATTCACATTCGCAAGTAGACGCAGCGCGTGCGGTTCGGATCCACACGATGTTTCAACCCTCGGTGTGCTTGGCGGCAGTGTTCCACTTGGTTGGGTGTGTAGTTCCACAACCGTAAGGCCGAACATACTGAGGTTATGTGTTTCAACATGGGTTGGCATTGGTCACGTACGTCTCCTCATGCCGTACGCATGTTAGCTGGACGCAATCATCCAAGGGCGGTATCAAGGCAAGAGGTTAGGGCGGCATCAGCAGGATACTACCTGTCTAAGTTTCTGAGAAAATTGATCTGGAGGAGGCAATAGCCTCGCCTGCAATCCATACAGATTGAAGTTCAGGGTTCAAAAACAGTTGCACAGTACACTAAGGTGATGTTTACTCCAACTATTCCTCACCGCGTCCTCTTCCCTCCAGAGGGAGAAACCTATGCACGAGATAGGCCTGTGATCATTGCATCCCTCCACACTTCCAGTGGTGGACAACATGAGGTTGTGTCTTGACTTGACATTGTCCACCTGTTACTACTAGCGATGCACTTGTTTCTACTAGCGTCCTTGTTACTAGTAGTAAGGCACCTGTTACTACTAGCGTGGCACTTGT